TATATATATATATATGACTACTTCATTTTTCATGTGCGCATGATCGTGATTCAATTTTATCTCATGTTAATTAAATTTATTATAAATATAAAAAATTAAGGATGCACAATTTTTGAAAGAGCTATGGTTGTAAGAAATCTACTTTCATGGTGATGGTTGGATATGTAAAAATTAGAGAGAGAAAAAATAAAATAGAAAAGGATATTGGTCGTTGTCCTGCATGTGAACTAAACCTACCTCTCCGGTCTCCACCAAACAAATTCACGTTCTATACCTACAAGTTTCCAACAAAAATATTATTTTATATTTTTAGTTTTTTACAATTATTTGTTTATAATATATAAAAGTCGAGTAATACATATTTCAATTCCAGTTTTTTTTTACAAAATCATTTTTAACAGTATTACGTTTATAAGATGTATTTTTTATTTAATTAATTAGCTTATAAATTAGTCAATATATAAACAAATTTTTAATTTTTATTTTAATAGTATAATTTTTTCTATAAATGTGGTATTTTGTTAATAATAATTAATAAATTTTGTAATTTTTGTTTGATAATTTATTAGAAGAAAATAAAAATATATTTTTTTTATAAATATTTTTAATATACTATAGTAAGTAAAATTAAGTTTTCAAATAATATATGAAAACATTAAAATTGACTTTAATTCAAAATAATATGAAGAAAAAGATGAAAGGTATAATAATAAAATATTTTATGGCAATTATTGACCAGGTTACATCATATCTATTTAGTGCGTATGCACGAGGATTTTGAATGATCTTTTTTATTTCTTTTTATGTTCAGATTGAGGAAGAAACCCTAATCTCTCCACTTTAGGCGCAAGTTTTACCTCACCAGACACCATGCTATATATTATTCAAATTAATAAATGTTTATGAGGATAATTAAGTAAAAGTGGAGCCTGTGAGGAGTAGTTATGTTGGATTAAGTGAAGGGAATAAATAAGTTATTAATCATGTTAAAAACCAATATATGAAGAAGAACTATAAGTGCATAAGACCATATGTATACCTTAATGTAATGTGAATGAATGAATAGTAGAGATGTTATGATAATGATGTAAAAATAAGGAATGTTGTAATGTGTGACGAATGAGCAGTGTTGATGATGTTACTCCACTCAATAATTCATGGTGTATGTTGAATTTCAACGATCTAATCGTTAAATTAAAAGTTCTTGATACATAGATTAAGTCTACAAAATTTTAAAAATTTTGAAAACCTTATGATACTTTGTTATATAAATTCAAATCAATGTATAAAATAGTTCTTATAATTATCCGTCAATTTGAATTAATGAAATGAAGTATCAAATAGTTTTTTAAAAATTATGTAGACTTGATCTATGTATTAAGAATTTTTAATTTAATGGTTGGATTGTTGAAATTCTACACACACCATGAATTATTGAGTGAAATCACTTTATTAAGAGTTATTGTTGAAGTCATTTGATCCCTCTTTATATATATGTGTGTGTGAGGAGGGATCCGTTTACTCCAAGAGTAAATCTACCTAGACTTTAAAGTTTAATAGCTCATGTTCTACATAAAATTTCAACAATCTAACCGTTAAATTTATAAAGTTCTTAATGTATAGTTCAAGTCTAAAATTTTTTAAAAAATTTGAAAACCATTTCATACTTTGTTTCATTAAATTCAAATTGATGGACAATTATGAAATCATTTTATACATTGATTTAAATTAATGAAACAAAGTATCAAATGATTTTCAAAATTTTTAAAAATTTGTAAATTTGATCTATATATGCATTAAGAACTTTAATTTCAATAATTAGATCATTAAAATTTGATATAGAACATAAGTTATTGAACAGAGTAAGTATAAGTAAACTTACTCTTGGAGTAAATAAATCCCTTCGATATATATATATAT